ATCGTGGTGACAAATCCTATCACTGGCGTGTAGATACATACGTAAAAGTAATATATTGAGTCTAGAGGATCTTCTACAAACAGTCTAGTACCTGCATGGTTTCTCGTCTTAGAGGTCGCTTCCACCGTCTCGGTCAGTTGACATGGAGGCAACTTCGTAATCAGTCGGGTCGGGACTAGCGTAGCACTTTCACGACTCCGACTTGACCAATTTATCAACAAATGACTCCACTTTCGCCTTAGCTTCGTCCCCATGCTATTGTCGGCCACTCTCGTCAATAACGTCTGATGCATTGATTCAGATGCGTACACTTTGCGCGAATGTGCTGATGCAAGGAGTTGGAACGAATGTTGTCGTAAAGGTTGACGCGTCATGAAAGTTTGCAAGTAGTTGGCAATTGAATCATCTTCAGATGATGCAAGAATTAATTTTGCCTCTTTCCCGGGCAATGGATGTAGCAGTTCGTGCAAACGCGCACTTCTCAGGTGTCTTTTTTTCTCTTGCTAAGCACAGCAACGGCTTTTTCGACCGATTCTTGTCACTCTACGGTGCGATTCAAAGTCGACACTAACATGGATCGATGCGGATATCATGTACCGGAGTAGGTTTTGTCGGAAGTGTTTTGCGGCAATGTGATCATTCATTTGGGCCGCGTCATGCTAACCTCATTTCTCATTTCTGGCAGCTACTAGTCTTCATGTCATCTATCCTTCGAGCGTAACTTGCAGTCTGAGAATGTTGAATGATCTCATCATCCTTGTGAGCTGTTTTGTTTATACGCTATGCGGTGTTATCTGATTAGTCTAAAGATTCAAGTCAGGAGCTCATTACTTTAACCATAGGACTAATCATTGCATTAGCGTAAGCAGGATCCCGACAAGCACCGAGTTTTAGTACTTAAGAGAAATTTGAATAGTAATGTCAAATGATCCACTGGTGTATGAGTTTGTGTGCAAGCTATCAGAGTTGCCACCAGGATCCAAGAAATGCATCGAATTATCAATCACACATCGTAATGTCATGATACTTAACCTACAGGGAAAAGTTTTTTGCATGGATCAAGCCTGCTATCGTATGTCTAGAGTTGGGGAGGAGGGATGGTACATGTTGTCACGTTTTTGGTGGTGATGAATACTAATGTAAATTCTGCTTATTCAATGACTGCAGACCACGGTGGCCCTTTATTCAATGGAGACATTGAAGAAATAGACAGCAAAATGATCGTCAAGTGTCCGTGGCACGCTTACCATATTGTCGTAGAGACAGGAGAAGGAATATATAAAGGTGTGAACATGACCATGACCTCATCTGGAAAATTGCAGCCGTCATCGCCCAAACTTAAGTCTAAGGGTGTTAAGCAACGCACACACTTAGTAGAGCTGCGCAACGGTGGACAAGATATATACATAGCCGATTCATCTGCTATTCCAGGTAACATTTTGTTAGACTGCGCCCAAATGGTATGGTATTCACTATTTTATTCCTCTAACTCGAAACGTTGCAGGAGCATCCATAATCGAGTCAGACATGTATGCATTCCGCACTATCAACATCCCTGAGACTGCCAAAAAGGGTGAAGTGCAAATCCACTCGCGCTTTGAATAGGAACAGCAATGATAGATCATCCTCTACAAAAAAACAAAACAATCAAAGGTCCTTTTAAGTTAGCGCTCTTTTGCGTTTTTGCCGGTGATACAAATTTCATCTACGTGTTTCACACGGCCTCGCAGCTTAGAGAAGGGATTTCGTTACAATGCGCGCGGCCTCGGCGCGTACAAACAGCTTTGGGCGGATATATGGCTTCTGATTCAACAACCAGTAGTTGGTGTCCTCTAGGGTCACTTGGTTGTCGGCCACTCGTGAAGCGTACTTCATCGAAATACTTTCGTTAACACGACCATCTACCTTCACCGCTCCCTCCTTATCTTGTTGCAAAAGACGCTCTTTCAGGTCCTTCACAGCTAGCTCCTCAACGTCCATCTCCGCTTCATCCTGTTCGTCCTGGTTCAGTTTGCTACGGTCCACCTTCTTGCGCTTCTTAGCACGTTCTTTCTCGATTTGTTCTTCACGTCTGCCGTCTTCCAGCAATTGCAGCCGTAACCCGAGATCTTGCTGTCGTAATTTTGAAAAGGAATCTTCACAGCTAACGCGTAAAATGTCTGCGGCTGAAAGCTCGATACGATTACCTGGTCGACCGTCCATAATAGCTCCAACCCTCGATACCCTTTGCAATGCCTCGAACGACTTTGCTTGCGAGTCTCCACGCTGCTTCGCAATCTCAACCATTTCTTCCATCACCTGCTTCAAATACTCATGTAGAGCGTACGCCATCACTTCACAAGTCTGTCCTCCAAGTTCAACACCTGATCGTCGACCAGCCTCGCGCATTTGGGCGCGTAGCTTCTCGGAATTAAATAAATCCTTTTCCACCCATTCTTCTTTTTGGCATGGCAACTGCTCTGCCATCCGCACTCGCACCACACCACCCTCCATCATGATTCGCCGTTCTGTGCTCAGCTCAATATTTGTATGCGTGAGAACATCAGCTTCTTTGCGAATGTCCGCAACGCTAGTCTGGGCAAGTTCTTGGCCGACCAGATCTGATACAGCAGCAATTGGTGCCGCTATCTCAGTTGTCGTCGACTTTCCTCGACAAGTCAAGTTAGTGCGTGGCTTCTTTAAAGGTGAGCGTGGCGTTGGTGACACAGCATTACTTCCACGCTTGTTCAAGACCCCAGATGGAGAGGAAGCCACAGCCATGCCAGCTGAAATCGTGTTAACAGAAGGCGCAATAGACGTTTTTCCTATTTGCGGATGGGGCAAAAATGTTGAGCTATTGGGCACAGGTAAAACGGGCAACAGTCCAATTTTGCACATTGGGCAATTGGCTGTGTTGTTTTTCGCTACACACGTCTTGTAGTGCCCGTAAACTTGCTTGTACGTTTTAGCTCGGGCCTGTCAGCACAAAAATAATGTTCGTCAAAGACAGTAGACCTCGTCATAATAGCAAGCACTCTGCACATACTGGTGGGTTCGGAGAATTCATCTGCTTCATGATCGCCTTCGATTCTGCACACTCTTCACCAACGGAGCATGTACTGGTCGTACATTTCTCCACATGAAGAATCAGTTGCAGCAAACGCCCATACTCCTGCGTCATATTAGCAGTAACATTCTTTTGTTGTGCCTTAACAATGGCTGGGGAAGAAAATGATGTTGTGGCAGCAATTGCACTCGTGGCGTTTGAAGACATTAGCCCTGAAGAGGGCCCAGGTGACCCGGTACTGTTCGCTCGAGCAAGTGACGCATTCAAACCTTTTCGCTTCAGAGGCTGATCAGTAACACCTCGAACAGGCATGTTTTTGGGAGACTTCGCCTTTGCAAACTTCTTCGCTTTGTTCACAGCAGAGGACAAAGGTGTGTTGTCATCGTCATCATCACTCCCCACGCCACGTCTAACCCCAGCCGTTTGCGCAACCTTAGCCTCAGCCGCCAAGGTTGCTTGGCTCTGAGCACAAGATCGCCGCAACCCATCACAAAACGGGATAGAGCAATGGTCTGCAATCCCAACGGCGCATTCCTTCGCGTGATACTTTACCAGACCTTTCAGCTGTTCACAGTGCGAGCATCCATTCGCTCCTCCACAAGACAAGCTGTGCTTGAATACACGGCGGACATCATCGCACTTCTTTACTTGACAAATGCCATGAGAAAGCGAGCATGTAGCTGCATGCGACAACAATCGTTTTGCAAACATGATCTTCTCTAGTGCTTCATTCCTTGACTGTGTGACCGTAGGAGACGTGTTAGAAGATGACGTCACTGCAGGCGTAGCAGTAGCACCAAGAGTAGCTGTTATCCCTGCCTGTTCTAGCTTCACACCAGGTGCTAACATCGTTGCTGTTGGAGTGCTAACGGTCCCAGGCGAAGGCATTGGTCGCGCCGTTGCGGCTGCAATTGACGCAGGTAACG